ATTTTTAACTGTCTTTCATATCTTGCAAGGGAAAAATATTCGATGAAAATAGACTGTTTCAAGACTATTGGGAGGTTGACTATTTTGTAGTGAAAAGCAAGCATTGTGGTAATTGTTGGATTTGTCGCGAAAGTGTTGTATTTAAAAATACCAATAAAAAACAGTAATCGTTCAATGACACTTTTCTTCGAAGATCTTTTTCAATAAGTGATAAATAGGCTTTCTTGAATAATGTTTACAACAGCAAAAAAGTGTTTTGTTAGTGTTAATGTGACACCGGTAACAAAGGCACCCTATGAAATTTGTTACATTATTGATAGTGATATGAAACCATTTACTGATGCAGAAATTGTGAAAGAGTGATTCTTAAATGCCTCCAGTTTAGAAAAATTTACTCATAAAAATAAAAAATATAAAAAATAATAACTAAAAAAAGCAAAATAGGAGTTTTAATAATTTGATCAGTTTCTACATTTTAATTTGTATATGTTATCTTTGTCTTAGCATCTCCCCGCCTCCATTAATTCTCATGTTACGGCCTGCTTGAAATATGCATTATATGTATGCAGCCCACGTGAAATAGCTAACATATGTATGCCACCCGGCAGAAAAAAGGTTGAGTACTCTTGAATTAGAGCAATTACAGGTTCATGTATGTATTTAAAAGAGCATAATAGGGTAAAATACCTAACTATTCCCTTCTTATTAGTTCACATCTTAAATTTATTTTAGTTCCGTAAAATTGGGTATTGATAAACCATTTTACATTATTTTTCATTTTTCATAAAAAAAAAAAAACATACTGAGAATCAGGGTTAGGTTTAGATTCGAGCATTACAGCAATTTAGAAAAAATAAAACTGAAAAAGAAAAAAAAAACCCATATTAATTTTAAGCAAGCTGCATTTGTAAATTTAGAGGCATTTAAATTAGAAATTTTAAACGGTTTTACAAACTTTGAATATAATTTTAATTTAAATTTGAATCAATTACTAATTTACTTTATTTATGCATTTTTATATATTTACGGTGAAAATATTAGAAAGCCAAAAATTCAAACTGAAGAAATATAAAAGTACAATACTAGGCTCACAGAATGTTATTTATGATTCTGACCTACATTTTAAAGGCGTAGCTGTAATATTTTCATATGCTCTAAACAATGGCGCAAAACGACAGAAACACGAATTTATAATACTACATGCTATGTAGACTCATCTGCTTTTTAAAATAAAATTTTCTTATTATTTACCAATTAAACAATTACAGTCGTGACATTTCAAACATCTCATCTGAAAAAAAAGTTAAAAGAAAAATCAACGGAAAACTAAAAAAAATGTCTGAAGAAAAGCGCACCTAACGGAAACAAAACCAAGGCAACTGGCTAATGTTGTGTTTCGGTTTCATCTACCGTCGTTATGACAACGGCGACATATTTGGCGACGGGCTCCCTTTTTTGGCAAGTGTTACGGCGAATGCGATTGGCTGGCGCCGGAAACGTACGAGAAAAGTGTGGTGTTCTGTGAAGAGAGCAGGACAGTGGCAGGATAGTTTATGTTTGGCGGCAGCGCATGGGAAGAGCTACCAACGGCGAAGAAATATACAGGCAAGTGTGGATGTTTATTTAATATGTTTATGATGTTTTAAGCGCAAAGTTTAGGAATGACTTTGAAATTTTGTGAAAAGTCAGTTCCGATGCATACATTAATAATTAGAAGATAATAAACAATAACATGCAATAATTTAAACATTGCAAAGGATTGTAATAAACATCTTACTTTATTGCACAATCTCCAGGTTGTAATAAAATTTGCTTCATATAATAATTAAATGAAAATAAATCATATATAAATGCATCATAAATGATCTTCAGTAGGAAATTAATTAGTTTGATTTGAAAATATTTATTAACGGCAAAATATTATAAATATTAATGTAAATATAAATTTTTGGATGCATTCAATACGACATATAACCAATAAAATTATATTTGCTGCACAGAATGTTTTAAAATCACGAGAGGAAAATTCTACAGCAAAATGTAAAATAACTGCATTTTATATAAAAAATAAAATTGGCTGCAAAATTTTGTATCATTTTTTTTTGTACATTTCCGATTGTATGTTTTCTAATTTCAATTGGCTTCTAATTCTAAATTAATTTGCTAATTTTATTTTCATTCTATTTTTGAGGATTTTGATCAATTATCAAGGAGTGTGACAAGTTAAATTAAAAAAAAATTTAAACTTTTTAAACTATAAATTTTGTACGCGTCTTACAAAAGACGCTTTTTTTCCAGCCTCACTTATGTTAATAGAGAGTAAGACCATTTTGTGCAACGTGTAAAATATTATTTATAGGTGAATTGATGAAAATACTGAATTAAATTACAAAAAAAAAAACCCCTTTTAATGAAGTCTTAGTCCACGTTTTAAGAAAAGAGCAATCATAAAACGAAAACTTATGAAAAAATTCTGAAATTAAATATCAAAAATCTAAAATACTGCATTGCAAATATTTTAACAAATGTAAGGTACTTTAACTCTTAAATAATTAAATTTAAAGCTATTAACCTAATATTAATAATTTCTTAAGAATTACGTTATAACTAATAATAATTAAATAAATAATTAAAATCTGAAAACGATTTTTTTGTATTCTTCCTGTAAAAATGCACTTATTTATGCATCCAAAATGCTTGAAATTTCTGTAAATAAGTTTTTTAAAAGTTGCTGGGGCTTGATGCATAATTTTAAATTTTAATAATAAAGATGTTGCAATATGCACAAGACATTTTTCTACAAGATTTAGTGTTTAAATTTATTAATTTACATAAGATTATGTATAAATATTCCGCTCCATGATATTTGTCTCTTTAAAACTTGTTAAAATTATATATGCTCTAAAAAACTAATTTTGTAATAAAAAAATTGTGAAATTTATTCACCATTTATTATATAATTGATGTACTTTTTCTGTTAAGAATTTAAATATTCACTAAACCGGGATGAATTGATAAGGTTTGATTTTGTATGAGGTGGTTGATTTCTGTGTGTGTGTTAGAATTATTCTTTAACGTTTTCTACATATGCGTTTAAATCTGCAATTAAGAACTTTAACTTTAAAATCAGTTTATAATCTTGATAATATTTAGAACGGAATGTAAAATATATTCAAGTTTATACTTGAAGAACGGCATTTTGATTCAGAAGCTTTGCCGAATTCGAAGTGTAGAATTTGATGCAAAATAATTATTAACTTCCAAATTTTAATTTGGAAAAAGCATGAAAGTAGTTATTTAAATAAAATATAAATAATTACTTCCATGGTGCATTTTCGCTGATTATAAAATTTGAATCATTTTATGAGCTATTGATATTTAATGTTATATTATTATTCTTTAAAAAAAACTTTTTATTGCAGTCACTGAATAAAATCGTTTGTCGAAAATGTTTGCTGTATAAATTATGTTTTTTAACCAATAAAAGAAGCAGAGATAAAACGAATTATTCAACGCAGCAAACTTTTGAAATCCAAATAACTTTTTTATACGCGTTTTCAATGTTAGAATCAATAAAACGTACAAATTTGCTTTATATATTTCTTACAAATACACAAAAAAACAGAGCTCTTCTGACAAAAATATAAGATCGAGAGATGCATGTTCATGAATTTTAAAAACTTGGAAGTCTCTGCAATAAATCAATCCATGCAGATTTTTATGGATCCCAACAGGAATAGATTTCAATTGCACGAGAAAATCATTTTATTCATCTAATTTTAGAACACGGAATTAAATCTCGAATTCATCTCATCGCTGCATCTAATTAGGTTTGTGCATTGCTTTTCTTTGTAAAACGTACTGCTTGCGACCTATTTCCAATATACCAGCTCGTCTAATGAAGAAATGTAAAGGTATTTTCCACTGAATGAAATAAAAGTTTCAACTTTCTTTTGTTCAGAATCAACGTATTGTTTAATTTAAAGATCTTCTTTTGGCAATTTGCATTTTGTGGAGCTAATAATAAAGGCAAAACTCTCAAATCGATAATTTTCCCTCTACTAGAGTGTTTCTATAATAGGATTGCAATCAGAATTTCCTTGAAAAATGCAATGCAAATTCAGTCGCTAATTTTAAACATTCTTTGATTATATGCGTTTTCGTTAAAAGGCTTGCTTTTATTAATAAAGGTTTGAAAGGTTTTCATTATTCTTGTAAAGTGTCATAATGGAATTTTAAACTCACGATACTACCTACGGCTTGTAGAAAATTTCCTCATTGATTGGGATTAGTTCGGTGAATCCTGTCTATTGATATGATTTTAGTTTGTTTGAATTTGTAACCAATATGTATTCGTATAATTCATAGAGCTAAACTCATGTGATGTCATACCCACATGACTGCAGTCACGTGTTTACAGCCAATCAGCTTGTGCACTTCACTGTTTCCCATTTTTGTTTCTTGTCGTACTTTCCTATTAACATGTAATTAAAATAATTTATTTAATCAATTCCTACTAAAGTAACCAAAGAAATTTTTGTTTAATTACTTTTTATTAAACAGTTCCATAATTAAAATAAAATATGAAACAAAAAGAATCAAAAAATATATATATTTTTATTGAGAACATTTATAAATCCCGTGCAAACACCGCACAGTATCACACGGGGGGCTTATAGAAGTAAGCGTGAAGCACACAAAACAAAGAACTAATAAGTCATGAAGGATTACAATACAAACATCCATGCCGTCTCCTGGAATGGAGCCTAGGTCCTATGGAACAGCATTCAATATCCCTAACCACTATACAGGATGGGCTGCAATCACAATTTTAAGTGACAAAAATAGAAAGCGATTTTCCTTGCAATTTTTCCATTTTCCTTTCTATATATGGTGTTGGACTATCTTTGTTTGCTTGTTATTATTTATTCATTTATTAAATTAAATTATTCTAATAAAATAGTATAGTAAAAAAGAAATCACATTTTTAGAAATTCGACCATCCCAGGTGGGATTGAAACCCATGACTTCTGGTTTAGATGTCCAACGCGCTATCGATTGCGCTACAGGGACGCAACGAACGATTTTCCTTTCTATATAGGCTGGTGGTCTATTATTTTTATTATTTATTCATTTTTTAGTTTAATTAATGAGTTAATATGTGAAAAAAACTACATTAACATCTAGTGTCATTTACTACAAGATTAAAATATGTATTTGAACTTGATTGGATGAATAGAAAATATTTTACAAATGATTGAAAATTTGAACAAGATATATATGGAGAGAGGGAACTATTAGTAAGAATTGAAAAAGTACATACTTGTTAAAAATGTAGCACATATGTCAACGAAATAAACTTGAATTAAATGTACAGGCATAATACATGAATTTTTTTAAAGATGACTAGATTCTATGAATTTGGATAGCGTATAAATAAATATTTTATTAATATTTAGTGTCAGTTGAATTAGAATGTACATATAATTTTTTAAAGAATATTATTACAAGAAAAATTATTTAAAGGCATTTTTTCCGGCAGAGAATGAAGAAAGACATATTTGGAACACATTTTCTTTTTTTGAAAAATGCTACTGTAATAAATTTTTTTTGTCTGTAAATAGGTAAGATATATCTAAACTGTTGTTGAGTTAAAATTTTGAAACGCATGATTTATAGAAATGGATTTTTTCATATTCTATTATATTATAATAGAGAAAATTTTAACAAAAAGCACCGCTAGTAATTACAATTGGGACCGTAACTCTGAAAATAACGTTAGTTTATTAAAAATTCTAGTTCGACCTCTGTATAGAAGTCCTATTTATATATAGACAGAAGATTATCATTATCGAAGCATTTTTCATAAAAGGAGAATGTTTTTATATACATATAACTTTCAATTTTTTCCTCCCCAAAAATTGCGTTTTAATAATTGTTTTCGTGTGATAATATTCTTAAGGTATCCAACTACTTGCGACAAATTTTTTTTAAAAAAATGGAAATATGGGGATTTTTTGTGGTTTTTAGATTTATTTAGTACATTTTAAGAAAAATGTGCTAAAATTAAGAAGAGAAAGAAATTATATATTATTACTAAAAGGAAAAAAATGGGTGAACATTTACAAAAAAATAACATACACGCAGCCCCTTCTGTACCAAAGGTTTATGAACAAATATTCAAATTTACAGTTCTGATGTGATACTATGTTATTAATTTTTGAAATGACTTTTAGAATAAGAGATATATTTTAATTCTTACTAAAACTAGAGCACTTTATCTTAGTTATTATATGAAATTGCTTAAAAAGACAGTGATTAAATTTTGTAATAAAACAGTGATTGATAAAGCTGAAGGTTAAAACACTTCTACTGTTATACAGAACATACACAAAAAATTTCACACAGTCAATCATTTTCAAAACTTTTTGAGGAATCACTGGCCCCGTTTAAGTATTAAAAAAAACACATTTTGAGTTAAACGCGTTTTAAAGTATGACATCTTGCTTAAAGTAACGGCATCTGTTTTTGCTAAAACACTTGTAGTTTTTGTTATAGTGAAAGGGAAATAATAAACTTGGTATTTTTATGAAGCTAATAAGATGACCAATAAAATAAAATCATAAAAAAAGTTGTCAATTTTTGACAAAATTTGCAATTTAGAGTAGTCGAATACCTTAAAACAATTATATATGTATATTCTAATTCAACTGACATAAAATATAAAAATAAACATTTATTTCTTTAAAATCACGGTTCCAAACGTATAATTTTGCAAAAAAAAAAAAAAAACTTTTTGAAGAATCTTACAAATTGTGAACATCCTTCTTTAATGATCAAACTTGAACTTACTCTAAATTTTTAAAGTAAAACAGAAAGTGCAACTCTAATGTCAATTTTGAATTCAATGGTGAATATGCGATTGTATTTATCACGTGAGCCCATTGGATATGATAAAAAGCTAAGATTACTTTCTTTCAAATGTGAGTGCTGTACGTTTAACATTTATTATAGGGAAAAATACATAATACTTTTACTCTGTGATTAGGTAGTGACCGAGGTAACCTAGCGGCTATGGTCAGGAACCCGAGGCTGGAGTGTAGCAAGTTCGAATCCTCGGTTCTTCAGTGGCACTAGGTCATAGTCCCCTCAGGGGGCTCACCTTCTTTAGGTGAGTACGGGTGTCACAATCCCGAGGTGCCCTAGTGATATTTTCCTTTTCCCACGGGGTTTACTGTCTTTGGTAAACACGGGCTTCACGAACCCGGGGTACCCTAGTGATCCTTCTCTATTTTCGACCCTCTTTCTTGTCATTTATTTCATTCTTTCTTTCTCTTCCCGTCTAGACCACAGATATTAAAACAAATGTTTGGCGCAGTATAGCCGAAATCGGCTCTTGCGCCAATAAACCCCAAAATCACTAGGTCATAGTAGCCTAGTGGTCAAGATTCGTGGCTGGCGTGTCATGAGTTCGAGCCTAGTTTCACTGAAGACTCACCGTGTAGAGGGGGCCGATAAACGTTAAATATGTCGAGGCTCTATCGTCATCCCGGCGGTGTAGTGCGGAAGTTAGGAGAGGGGGTAGCGTTGTCCTCGTAGCTTGACCATTTTCTAAAATTATGAGTTCCGTCGCAAAAAGACCTCGAATAGATGAATAGTGAGACGTTAATATTCACTCACTCTCTCTAATATAAACCGTGTAGGGGAGCGATGTACGTTAAATCTGTCGAGAGCTCAAATGTCCTCACGTTGGTGTGGTGTGGTAGTTAGGAGAGGGGGGTGCCAGCTCAGGTGTCGTCCGCGTCACTTGACTATGCGGTCTGTTGCCAAAAGCACTCGTGTAGTTGAACAGTGCGAGTTTCATATTCACTCACTCACTCTCTAATATAAATAAATCCACCCCTGAAGACCCACCGTGTAGAGGAGCTGATGCACGTTGAATTTGTCGAGGTTTAATACCCTCCCATTGGTGTGGTCAGGGAGTTTGGAGAGGGGGTGCAATCTCAGGTGTTATCCTTGTTACTTGATATTATTTTTCATTGAGATCATTTATAAATCCCGTGCAAACCACAAAGTATCACACGGGGCTTACAGAATTAAGCATGAAGCTCACATTACAAAGGAAATGAAAATCATGTGTGTGTGTGTGAAGGATTACAATACAAACATCCATGCCTTCTCCGGGATTCGAACCCAGGCCATACGGCACCGCAGTCAACGTCGCTAACCACTATACCGGATGGGCGGCCTTGCCATTTAACTTAGGCTTAAAATTACGAGGTCCTTTGACAATAACCTCGTGTTTTACTTAGTGGTTAGATGTTAATATAACTCTCTCACACGTGATGAAAATAACTCATTTAATTTTTTAATATATTTTATTAATAGTAAGAAATTACAATATTCTCTCTCTTGTAAATTTTTAGCAAAACATTCGTTGCTGAACTTAAATTTATACAGGATCAAATTTTGTTTGAAGGTTAAATTCTTCATGCCTATAGCTGTTGTTTGTAAGATTCCAATTACAGGAAGTAAATAAAAAATCACCAATTCGAAGTTATTTTAATCTGTTTTTGATGCTGTTTTCAACACGAAAAACTTCAGGGGAGCTAAAAACATATATTTATATTTGCATAAAGATTATTCCGTGACTACATCTCATCTAATCTAAACCTAAATCGAAAATTTACGTCAGAAAATAAGAATTCTAAGCCGAAATAAATTGGAAGAGTGTTTCTGGATGAAAAAAAATTACATTAAAAAGCGGAACTTTTGGGATAAAAATTATGATAAAATGCTGGGGGAAAAAAAAGACATAATGCCTTTCTGATATTCTGAAATGTTTGCATCTGTGGCATGGTAGATGGTTTGTACTTTGAGAAATTCATAAACGTATGTAGATGTTAGATAGTTGTAGCAATGCATAATTAAATAAATACCATGTCTTTGCATAAATGAGAAAATTACTCTAGTGTACATCAATAAATTAATGTTGAAATTTTAAAATGATTTTAAAGAACAATTAAGGTATCTGACTACCCAAAAACTGTAAATTTTGTCAAAAATTGACAAATTTTTTTTATGAATTTATTTTATGGGTCATTTTATTAGCTTTATAAAAATACCAAGTTTATCATTCTCCGTTTACTAGAACAAAAACTACAAGTGTTTTAGTAAAAGCAGATGCCATTACTTTAAGCAAAATGTCATACTTTAAAACGCGTTTTACTCGAAATGTGATTTTTTGAAAATAATCAAACGGGGTCAGCGATTGCTAAAAAAGTTTTGAACACAATTAACTGAAATTTTTTCTGTAAGTTCTGTATAATAGTAGAATTGTTGTAACCTTCAGATTGATCAATCACTGTTTTATTACATAATTTATTTTTTATGTGAATATATCCAGTCTTTTAAAGCATTTTCATATAGTAACCGAGATAAAGTGCTCTAGTTTTTGTAAAAAAGAAAATATCTCTTATCCTGAAGGTCATTTCAAAATTGAATAATATAGTAACACATTAGATTGAAAAAATTGAAAATTTGTTCATAAACCTTTGGTGCAGAATTGTCCGCGTTTATACTACTTTTTGTCAATTTTTACCTATTTTTTCCCATGTTAGTAATAATAATTTCTTTTTCTCTTAATTTTAGCACATTTTTCTTAAAATGCACTAAACAAATCTAAAAATAACAAAGAAATCCCATATCTCCTTTTTTATTAAAAGCTTTTATTTAACTTACAATGTATGTATGTATGTATGTATGTATGTAATTTGTTCGGGTGGAATCTTGCAACTCAAATTTTGAAGCTGATATCTTCCTCCCATTGAGCTGAAATTTTGTATACACGTTTAGTTTGGATGACAATGCATGTTTTGACCATTTATATTCCGATATTGAAATTAATTAAAAAGATATTAATTAAAAACGTTAAACTAGTTTTGGGCGCCAACTTGGATATATCTGCATTGTTGTAATAATTTTATTGTTACAACAATGACAAAAGTTGGCGTCGAAAATCGGTTTTCAGCCAAACTGGAATTTCATAACGTTGCGCTATTGACAATATTAAT